GAGAGAGAGAGAGAGAGAGAGAGAGAGAGCGAGAGAGAGAGAGAGAGGAGATGGAGAAGAGAGAAGAGAGAGAGAGAGAGATGAGAGAGAGAGAGAGAGAGAGAGAGGAGAGAGAGAGAGAGAGAAGGAGGGGGGGGAGAGGGAGGGAGGGAGGGGGAGGGGAGAGAAAGAGAGAGAGAGAGAGAGAGAGAGAGAGAGAGAGAGAGAAAGAGAGAGAGAGAGAGAGAGAGAGAGAGAGAGAGAGAGGAGAAGGAGAGAGAGAAGAGAGAGAGAGAGAGAGAGAGAGAGAGAGAGGAAAGAGAGAGAGAGAGAGAGAGAGAGAGAGAGAGAGAGAGAGAGAGAGAGAGAGAGGAGAGACGGAGAGCGAGAGAGAGGGGAGGAGAGAAGAGAGAGAGAGGGGGGAGGGAGAGAAAGAGAGAGAGGGAGGAGGGGGAGAGAGAGAGGGGGGGGGGAGGGGAGAGGAGAGGGGGAGGGAAGAGAAGAGAGAGAGAGAGGTTGGGAGGTTGGGAGGGAGGTTGGAGGGAGGGAGGAGAGGGAGGGAAGGGAGGAGGGAGGAGGAGGGAGAGAGAGAGAGAGAGAGAGAGAGAGAGAGAGAGAGAGAGAGAGAGAGAGAGAGAGAGAGAGAGGAGAAGTGAAAGAGAGAAGAGAGAAAGAGAGAAGAGAGAGAGAGAGAGAGAGAGAGAGAGAGAGAGAGAGAGAGAGGAGAGAGAGAGAGAGAAAGAAAAGAAAAGAGAAGACAGACAGACAAAAATACAGACCGACCGACGGACAGCGAGGCCGAGAGAGGGAACCGACAAATCAAAACAGCAGCGAGGCGGGTCGAGCAGCAGACATGAAATTAGAAGCTCGACCCAGGAGCTTCCCCTGAGATAAATCCCGCAGCTCCTCCTCCTCCTCCTCCCCCTCGCCCTCGCGCCGGGACCTCGCATGTGGATCTGCTCCCAGGTATTAATGTCCCATCTTTCACTTCTCAAACACTCGCACTGGAGACCTCGGCTAAGTTATTTCCCGAGCAGGGCGAGGGGGAGCGCGAGACAGCGGGGCAGCAGCGGGAAAATCGCCCCGGGCCACCCCTCCTCCTCCTCCGTCGCTCAGTACATACACATGCTTTGTATTGACATCCAATTATCGTTCCCCTTCCGGGACCTGTTAACAAACTTTTAGGAGGAGCGGCCAGGGGATCGGGCTGACAGGTGGCCGCGCTGCCAAAACTCCGCCCGACCGAACGGCGTCTCCGCCTCGCGCGACCGAACGAAAACTTCGTCTCCGTCCTCTTCGTCTCCGCCTGGTCCTCCTTCGTCTCCGCCAGTCCTTCTTCGTCTCAGCCTGGTCCTTCTTCCTCCGCCTCTCCTTCTTCGTCGTCTCCGCCTGGCTCCTTCGCTCCGCCTCCTCCTTCGTCCTCCGTCTCCGCCTGGTTCCTCTTCTCTCGCCTGGTCTTCCTCCGTCTCCGCCTGGTCCTTCTCTGTCCGCCTCCTTCTCCGTCTCCGCCTGGTCCTTCTTCGTCCCCGCCTGGTCCTCCTTCGTCCCCGCCTGGTCCTCCTTCGTCTCCGCCTGGTCCTCCTTCGTCTCCGCCTGTCTCCTCCGTCTCCGCCTGGTACTCCTTCCCGCCTGGTCCTTCTTCGTCTCCGCCTGGTCCTTCTTCGTCTCCGCCTGGTCCTCCTTCGTCTCCGCCTGGTCCTTCTTCGTCTCCGCCTGGTCTTTCTTCGTCTCCGCCTGGTCCTTCTCCGTCTCCGCCTTCTCGTCTCCGCCTGGTTCCTTCTCGTCTCCGCCTGGTCCTCCCTTTCGTGGCTCCGTCTTCTCCGCTGGTCCTCCTTCGTCTCCGCCTGGTCCTTCTTCGTCTCCGCCTGGTCCTTCTCCGTCTCCGCCTGGTCCTTCTCCGTCTCCGCCTGGTCCTTCTCCGTCCTCCGCCTGGTCTTTCTTCGTCCCCGCCTGGTCCTCCTTCGTCCCCGCCTGGTCCTCCTTCCGTCTCTCCGCCTGGTCCTCCTCGGTTCCGCCTGGTCCTCCTTCGTCTCCGCCTGGTCTCCTTCCGCCTGGGTTCTCCGCCTGGTCCGCTCCTCCTCCTCCGTCTCCGCCTGGTCCGTCTCCTGCGTCTCCGCCTTCGTCTCCGCCTGGTCGTCTCCGTCTCCGCCTGGTCCTTCTCCGTCTCCGCCTGGTCCTTCTTCGTCCCGCCTTGGTCCTCCTTCGTCCCCGCCTGGTCTTCTTCGTCCCGCCTTGTCCTCCTTCGTCCCCGCCTGTCCTCTTCAGAACCGCCTCGGCGCGTAGCTACGCCTAGACGTCTCCGCCCTCCCTCCCTCCCACGCCCGTACGTGCGTGGACCCCGGAGGTTATCACAGGAGCTTGCAATATTGCATTATCTATCGGTGATCCATTCTCCGTATCAAGCTCACCTCCGTCCCCGGGGCAGGAGGCCGACACCGGAGCAGACAATAATTTGCTTCTGCAAAGGGCACTTGTAATTAACCCTTGGCACGTGGCTAGTTAACTCTCTTCCCCACAAGAC